TTAATGTATTCAATCAAAAAATTTTTTTCTTTCTTCATTTTCTGGAGGATTTCTGAGTTTCTTTCTACGTCCAATGTGCAGTGTTATGCCTCTTCTATTTTCAGGAAAATCGATTTACAAGTTTCTGTTGTCTTTGTAAGTTAAGTTTGTGGGATGCAATCAAAAAAAAAGGTATCATACTAGGAAATAAATATCTAGTACCTGTCAACTCTGCTTTCAGAATTCCCTTCAGGAACCCTTGCTAAAAATTGTTGTGCCTTCATGACCTCTCGTTTTTTCAGCAAAACCACTAGGTCTGCAGTCACTGTGTTTTCAGGGGCACCAATATATACTGAAAGCTCTCATGAGAATTACATGCTTACAAGGTGATTTTAGTATTGAACAGAGTTTCCACCGTTGCCTTTTATTTACTGGGACTTTTTTGTTTCATATGCCCTCTGGTCTGTTCAGCTGTGACAGTTGCATACAACAGATTGTGTTACATAGATATCATAAAGCGTATTGTGCCCAGATGTATTCTTTCAGCATTTCAGATTTTCCATTACGAAAAGGCTCTTTGTTTCCTAGGTATTTTCTTTTGTAGTCTGTTGTTTGGTGTTCTTTCTGTGTCACATGTGAAATTAAATGAATGCTTAATGTGAGGGTGGAGGTGGCGATGTTCAGTATGTTTTTGCAGCACATGCAGTACGCCTAGAAATCTCTCCATATACCTGTAGGGGAGATATCTATGTAATGGAAGTCTTGCATGACCTCCATCTAGAGAGATTCCTATTCACGCGTGTTGGGGTTTATTGCTATTCAGAGGCACCTGGTTCTTCCAGTGCTTCCTTTATAGACCCAGATCTCCCTGGAAGTTACAGTTTCTGTCAGTGGGAGGAGATTCCACCAGCACCATACCACCAAACCTGCATCTTTCTTCTACATTGCTTGTTGGGTTAGTTCTCCATTCCATATAGACAAACTTCTGCCCACAAACCTGAAGGCAGACTGTGTTTAATCAGGTGGTGCAGTACATGTGTGATAAAGAACTTGTAAATGTCTTATCAGTGCTTGGTTCTGCAAGATGTTTCCAGAACTGGTAAACCTGGTCAGTCTTAGAGGCACCCCATGTTGTACATAAAAGCAGTATCAGTGTTTTGTTTTTATTTGTGCGTGCCCGAAATAAAAGGTTCTGCTGCTTTAGCTAGTTCTTAATTTAAAGGCTAATTCTTAACTAACTTTGTCATTCTAGCAGAAGATCACCTTATGGGCCTGGAAAACTAATGGCATTCATCCTCAGAAATGGAAGTTAGGGGTTTAGGAATAAAGGGTTTGTTTAGTCAGATTCTTTAGGATTTTATTTTTTAATCCAAACCTGGTCAAACATCTGGCAAGTAGTTGGGAGGAGAGTTCTCTCAGTAGATGAATATACCTTACCTCCGCTCTAATTGAGTGCTCAGAAAATTTATGTTCCAGGTGTGCTGTTTTTGAGACTGCCCTTCAGCAAAGGTCAACGCTTAGGAGGTTCCCGACTCTGTTTTGTAAAAAAAATAGTTATATAAAAATGGATGAAAATCACTAGTAAGAAAAGGTAATGCCATCTGAAAACATTCAGAAAGAAACAATAAAGAACAAAAGTAGAAAAGTACCTATGGTGGCTAGCTTGTAAGCTTTCTGCAAGGGGTACAAATTGAACTCTTCTGGATTCCTCTTGAGGAGTCAGATTTCTGCTTTTACCAGGGTTCTTGATCAGAGCAGACTTTACAGCTCAAGCAGCAGGAAATTGAAGACTCAGTATTTCTGCCTGTTTTCACCAGCTTTTAACTCGTGCTCTGATCAGCAGCTGAATTGCTGGCATATGGTTTGGAGCATGAATCAAAGCCACACGTGATTCCAAAGACTCCTGTTTGAACTGAGCATGACGCTGCTCCTGCACTGTTTTATCAGATTCCCCCAAGCTTGCTTTTTGCTATGGATGTTTTGCCATGCGCTGAGTGTATACGTAGCTGAGGGAAGGAGTTATCTGTAAGGAGACTCTAAGCGCTGCCACTTCTGCAGCTTAGTTGAAATGAACTATTTTCCTAAGACGACTAATGTAATTTTGTCCCCTTGATCACTAGTACTAGATGAACTGCATTCACTGAGTTGCCTGACCTGACAAAAATGCATGTAGAATAACAGCCCAGCTTCTGTCAGAGTATCTGACATCAGGTTACTGTTTACTTTTGTTTGCATCCATGGTAATAATCATATCCAGTTTAGTTTAATCAGCAGTTGACTATAACGTGGGAGAGGGGAGCATATGTGTATATATATAGTATCTAAGCTGTATGTAGAAGTTCCTGACAGAAATAAACAAAGTGAGCTAAGTAAGAGATCACACTGCTTTTGTCACCAAAACCCATGCTGTTTGGAGTGCTCTTTTTTGTAGATTTTTTTTTTTTTTTTTTTTTTTGTGCTGGCAAGAATGCCCTGCACTGAGAGTTGAAGTGTGATGTACAGTTTCAGTTAGATACTTTGGAGACTTTGTTCTGCTGGGTAGGGGTATGAATTTTCTCTTGAGAAGGAGGTCTAATAGGGGTTTCATATTGATTCAGCTCCTTATGGGGATTGCTGACTTCCTACTGAGGTGGTCAAGGATCATAAAACAGGCACAGACAAAACGCTTTGATATTTTTGTTCCTTCAGGCATGGTGCAATTGTTGCA